CACCGCAGAGATTATTCCAGAGATTGTCTAAATTGAAAAACTGAATCTCTTTAAGATAGGGTGATCTCTCCCTCTCTCACTCTCACTCAGGCCATGTTGACTACGGCTAAATTTGCGGTTAAGCAGGATAACTTTTATTGTATAATTCAACTAACCTTCATCCTTGCTTTCTCCCATTGCGGCTGTCAGAGTACACAGACTTTTCTTAATCTTTGCCATCTCGCCTATCATTTTCTTAACAGACCCTTTCGATGAATAACATTGGAACTTTTAGTCCGAGTGAGAGTCGCTATATTCATTAAAAGTTAACTAAATAGATCCTTTTCCCTTCCTCTGTTGTTGCTGTTTTTTTTTTTCAATTTTATACAACATTCTAAAAAAACTTATGGCTCGGCTGCAGCGGTTTCTGATAGTGAAACTCGGGAGATAAATATTGATATCATTGGAGCCGATAGTCTGAGTAAGATTTTTGTTAATTAAAAAAACCAAAGAACGCTTTTCCGCCCTCGTTTTCACGTCGTTTAATCATAGAAAAAGAAAAACGCTGGAACAAACCAGAGGTCCGCCTGCAATGCATTGTGAAGTTTCGTTCACAGTTTTTCGCTCGGGAAAATTAAAATAACCGCACGAGGCATGGAGGACAGTCAAGAGAAAGATTATAGCTTTTTGGGGAACGACTGGAAAAATCTCTACGTTTGCGTCTTAAAAATTATTAGCGAAAATGTAAATGTGCGAAAGTTTTCTTAATTTTTGCCTCATCATGTACAATGCCCGGTCACATTCGCGAATTTAACAGGCTAAAGCAGCATTCGAGTGACGATTTGGTACTTAAAATATGGAGGAATAATAACACTGAAGCGACTTGAAGAGTTTTTTGTCTCTGATTGTGAATTACGTCAGTATTAGCCTCCATAGAAGAGGGGGGAGCGGTGCGAGATTAACTATATTTATGCAATCCCACTGTCCCACTGGGCCCCGGTATGTTCCAAGTAGTGGTTCTAGTTCTTCATTTTTCACGCGTGGTGCAAAAATAGCTTCCAAATATAAGACTAGTTCCGACAAAAATTAAAACTTCATGAGCTAGCCTGCATTGCCGTGTTAACTGAAAAAAATATACTTTTGTAGCCTTCTGATTCATCCACAGTGGCAGGGGACAATGTTTTTCTTACCTTCAATATCTTCAAGCTTGTCTTTGATGTTGTCGTCGTCTATCTTCCATTGTTTCATCAGTTCACGATAATGCTCCTCGATATCTGGATCCATGTTGTCGAGCTCAAGATTGTCGATTTTAGCTCTCAAATGAGCTCCTCCCAGTCTCACCAAGGCCTCTCGAATTTCGTGCCAATAAGCACTGAAACTACTGTTATCCACAGAGGCTTGATGAGCATGGGCGTATACAGTATTCCTGTAATACTTTACTCTAGCGATGTCATCTTCGATGCGTTTGTCTGTAGCTGGGGGAAGCTCATCCCATCCCCTGGTAGGAGTGCGCAAACTACAGATATTTCTAAGTAGCACTGTTAGGAGTGTGATGTCGAAGGTTGCAGAAGACACGAGTGAGTGAGAAGGGTACAACTTCCCCCATTGCGTGGGATTCAGCACTCTCCTCCGCCCTCTGTACAGTGATTGCAATGTGGCGTAATGCACTGAGGTACTTCCCAAAACTGTATGTAGAGTCGCTGGTGGATGTATTTTGTCAAAAGTGGACCGAAGCACCTGAGATCCAACATTCACCAGGAGGCGGCATAGTTTTGCATAGTTGGTAGTCTCTTTCGTAGATGCGAATGACTTGGAATTGATATTAATCAAACCTATTTGAAAAAAAAGAAATTCTCAATGGCCAATTCTGACCGAGAATGGTTTCAAATCGCGATGTCATTTTCTAAATCCTTTCGAGCACGGAACACCGACGAAAGAACTATTTTGGCGACTTAGCAAGAGATTTAATCAGAGATATTTGATCTCAAGACAGTTTTTGGATCAAGAAAGAGCTTTTTATTCAGTTTACAAAGTAACAACCAGACATAAACAGCAGAAATAAAATGTTATTTGAAAGTTTAAAGTGAAAGGAATTAGCAGGGGGAGTTCTTATTTCTTCTTGAAGGCCTTAAATTCAGTCAGTCCTAGCTGGTTGACGTTTGATTCCTAATGGAATGTAATCTGTTTTCTATGTACCAGTTTCGACATAAGAGTGTGATTATACACCTGAATGTTTTAAGGAAGGCTATCTTCTTGACATCTACCAATCTAAGACCTCTCCCTATCAGACCAAAATACTACAAATGAACACACAGTTTCAACATTGGGGTTTATTCTTCATTTTTCACACATGGCGCAAAAATAGCTTCCAAATGTAAGACTAGTTCCGACCAAAATAACAACTTCATGAGCTAGCCCGCACTGCCGTGTTAACTGAAAAAAATTTACTTTTGTAGCCTTCTGATTCATCCACAGTGGCAGGGGACAATGTTTTTCTTACCTTCAATTTCTTCAAGCTTATCTTTGATGCTGTCGTCGTCTATCTTCCATTGTTTCATCAGTTCACGATAATGCTCCTCGACAACTGGATCCATGAAGTCGTGCTCAAGATTGTCGATTTTAGCTCCAAAATGAGCTCCTCCCAGTCTCACCAAGGCCTCTCGTATTTCGTGCCAGTAAGCACTGAAACTACTGTTATCCACAGAGGCTTGATGAGCATGGGTGTATACAGTATTCCTGTAATACTTTACTCTAGCGATGTCATCTTCGATGCGTATGTCTGTAGCTGGGGGAAGCTCATCCCATCCCTTAGTAGGAGTGCGCAAACTACAGATATTTCTAAGCAGCACTGTTAGGAGTGTGATGTCGAAGGTTGCAGAAGACACGAGTGAGTGAGAAGGGTACAACTTCCCCCACTGCGTGGGATTCAGCACTTTCCCTGTGTACAGTGATTGCAATGTGGCGTAATGCACTGAGGTACTTCCCAAAACTGTATGTAGAGTCTCTGGTGGATGTATTTTGTCAAAAGTGGACCGGAGCACCTGAGATCCAACATCCATCAGGAGGCGGCATAGTCTTGCATAGTTGGTAGTCTCTTTCGTAGACGCGAATGGCGATGAAGCCCCAGCCATGAACCTGACTTAACAAGGATGACCTGCAAACAAGGAATTGATATTAAGTTATATTAATCACACCCATCCAAAAAAAGAAATTCTCAATAGCCATTTGAGACCGAGAATGGTTTCAAATGGTAAGGTCATTTTGTAAATCCTTTGGAGCACGGAACACCAACGAAAGAACTTATCACCTATGTAATGAACATCACAATAACTTCATTTTGGTGGAAGGTTGATCAAAACCAGTAAAGTGGAGGGGGACAGGGGGCGGGAGCCCGGGAGAACAGGGGGGCAGGAGAGGGCGGGAGAGGGTGGAAAGAGGGAGAACAGGGGGCGGGAAGCGGGA